TGTCCTTGAGATCCATCCAGATTTGTCCCGCTGCTTGGCCAGTGATAGGGAATCCTCTGTAAAATATCCACGTGAATCCATGCAAAGTATCTGTGTAAATCCATGTAAAGCTCATGAAAATAACAAAGCTTTATGCCACTCAAACCTCTGCTCCTTCTCCACTGCCAGCCTTGCCCTGACGGTGTGCTGGCTGAGGCTGATGCCGTTCATAAACCCGAGCCTTTGCAGAGTGTTCCCAATGCTTCCTCTCTCATTCCGCTACGCCAAGGGCATCTTGGATGCAAAGGAGGATTAAGCCTGGTCAAAAACGTCGCCCCCCCCGCCCCCCCCCCCTCCAAAAAATCTGAATGCTCCAGAAGATTAAAGCCATTAGCATTTATGATATGAAGACTGAGAGCAAGGAACTGAAGACTCCATGTGGAACTTCCTGTATGCATTGTGCATGCAGAAACCCTTCGGTATTTTACACAGAAATGTTGATTATAATTATAGTACTAGGACATCTTTATCTGCCAAAGCGCCTGCCTTGCACCTGCTCTCCTGCTGTGGAAAGAGAGCAATGAGAGAGAACAGAAACTGCAGCAAGAAAGCGAAGAAAAACAGGAACCTCTTCAGAAAAGCTCCATTAATTTTTCTTCAGACAAACTTTCGCTTGGCCTCAGTGGGGAAAAACAAGCACGGCTCCTCCACGGTTTCCTTGCTCATGGATATAAGCAATCCGGTGAAGGGCATCTCAGCTCTACAGCTCTTTGAAGCACTGAAGCAAAAGGATGGGTCCTCAGAAGCGGGTATTTTCTCTCTGTCTGGTTGAGCAGGCACAGGTCTTGCAGGGTCAAGACAGGCTTTCTTTCCCTCCCACCAACAGGAACGTATTTGTTGGCACTGCGGCCTCAGCTGAGAACCGACACGACTCCCTTGCAGCTCAAAGTAAAGTCGCTGCAGATCTCAGAGGGAGCCAGGGTAGGCTTTCAAATTGCCATCGAATCCCTTCCCTTGAATTACCATTTTGTGGTCACTGAATCCCTTCTAGATTGACAGCTTGTTGCCAGTCGACATGAGGTTTTTTTTCCCAATAAAAGCAGAAAATGCACCAGAAAATGCAGCCCCCACCTATTCTGCAGTTACTGCCTAGCCCTGGTTTTCAGCCATTACTAATATAGGTCTAAATTCAAAGAAAAATATTCTGTTTCAACAAGGTGCTTAAGAACATGTATGTATAAAAGTTGCTTTAACAGAGTGTTCATCAGTATTTGTACAAATTATGCCTAACACGTCCTGTCCATGTCCTCTGAATCCTAAGTAAATCAGTAAATAAATAAAAACGCTGTCAAATACACATGTTTCAAAGTATTTAAAATATTTATTTCAGACAAAAAGCTACTTGGTGCGCTTGTGAAACAATATTTTATTTTTGAGTATTTGCCAAATGCTAATGTCACGGACAATATGAGTGATCTCCTGCAGTGCTGAGATAATGAATACTCGAGGTAATAATTTCCATGATGAGCTCTGCATTTCAGCTGGAAAGCACTCTGAACATTCTTTGTGTTTTAAGCACACAGCACCACTTGTAAACAGCAGCACCACTTTTAAAAACACATATTTGTCAAAGCTTATGTACTTAGGAAGAGATATCTGACAAGGTTTAGATTTGTTATGTGTCAGTTTCCAACTAGGTCACATCTATTCAGGTCAAAGTTAATTTAATATGTATTTCATATGTACATAAACATACCATATATATATATATTCATGGCATCTCTATTATTAATATACATATTCTGAGATGCTAAGAATATATATATTCTTCTATATAATGTATATTTTATATATTATATATTTTCACAGCATAACTATAACTATAAATATAAACATAAAATATAAATATAAAGTCTGTGAAGGTAAGAAAAAACAAGCAGCAAGAATTTACAATGTCTAGTATAGCCACAAAGTATTTCAAAAACAAAAAAAAGTTGATATGATATGAACTGTTATTTTAGAGAAAGAACTAGTTTAAGAAGACAGGAGGTAAATGTAACAGAAAAATTTCAGACTTTTTTTATACTTATGCTGCAGTAATGCCTGGAGGCCAGAGAGATGTTTGGCTGACTAACAAAATGCTAATTATTCTGAGACTTCTGTTCCACAGAGAAAAGCCACATCAGTAACTTGGAAAGTGGGATCTGTGGAATTCTAAAAGCGTACTAATGAAAAAAATCTGTCAGGAGAAAATTTAGAAGATGAGAGAAGAAAATTTTCAATAATGTGATATCACACCGCTTTGCTATTCTGTATTTCATTTTGTGAATGCTACGATGTACAAGAATGCAACGTGTGACAATGAGACTGTGGCTACAGGTCAGAGAGGAAAGAAATCAATAAAATGTTAAGCAGAGGAAGCTGACAGAAATATTGAGGATGCAGCTTCAAAAATATCACGATAGCGATCTTCAAGTTCTTTAAAAATGACAAATTTATGCCTATCAATCAGAGAAAATTTGCTATCATCTACTTTGCAATTTTTCCCTGTACTAACCTAAGTATATATATTCTTAGTGAAACCAAACATTGCACCTCATAGTTTATCACTTGACATAAAATATATTGAATATTTTGATATATTTTATAGTGAATACCATCTTGAATATTAAGTTAGGACATATAAAGACATGCAAAGAAGCTTTTGAGGGAAATTAAGAAGGGAAGGATCTTGGGCAAAATCTCCAGATGGAATAAACCAGAAACACATCCGTCTCACGCTCCCAGACAATCGTGTCTCCACACAACATTATTAAGATTGTGATCGCGAGCACCAGAAAGTTAGAAAAATGCCGGAATCATGGTTGTCTACACAGCTTAAATTCAGTTGGTGTGCATATACACATTATGACAGTCAATGGCATCACCATCTTCTGTGTTTCACAAGTCCCTTTCCTCTCTCGCTGCCCAGAGTAGGTCACAACAATGCACTGAATTGCTATTCAATATATCATTTATTCTCTGTGCAGCCTGCACACCCTAATTGTTTTCTTGCATAGCAAAACCTTACAGACAGGATTTCAAAATTCTGCTCTGATGAGTTTTCTGCAGTGCCAGTAACCGTGGTGGCTGCAGGAATGAATGAACAGACTTCACAGAGTCTTTAGGGATTGGGAGTGCCTTATCACTGCTGCCATTTTATACACAGGTAACTAAGAACACACACTAATGCTAAAAAAGGTCTTTAAACCTGGCTGGCCAGTTTGAGATAATGATGATCTCATTTTTCCATAGCCTTGAATTACATAGTACTGCATTTAAGGCGTGATGCTCACTGATTTCAGCTGCAGTCACGAGCCTCAGATCCAGCTTGGACACAAGCTGTTTAGGACACACAACTGCAAGAGAGAATTTGCACTTACAGACTTTGGGAGGGCTGGACTTGAAGGTGTCTACAAATCTTACTGCAGCCTCTCATATCAGACGCACAAATATAGAAAAATGTCACTGGGATCCGCATTATCTAGCCTGAGACACCGAAGAGCTATTTTCAAGCTAAACTAGACCTTTCTAAGCTAAACTAGTCATCTTTCAGAGGCAGTAGAGAGACAAAGACTGTGCCAGAGAGCTTGTCATCTTGCCCGCCCTGTACATTTTAGACATCCTAGACATCTCATCTTAGGATGAAATTGGTTATCATCTGAAGGTTCCTATCTAACGGCAGCCTAACTTCATCAGCTTAGACTTCGTTGACTAACGATTAAATTAGATGAGATATAACTCACATAATGCACATGTGAACTGCACAGATTTTTTTTTTTTTTTAAGTTTCAGGACTTTTGAATGATTGGCTTTGCAGTATTAGAAGTGTTCCCCATTGCAGTCTGGAGGTGAATTTCTATGTTTGTACAAATGCACACAGAACAACGGGGGGAAAAATACAACATCAGGTAGTGCAATAGTAGCACCCGGACAGGAAAACTTCAGGTCTATGACGCAGGCTCTTGCTACGTAAGCTAAGAGAGTAACTGTTAGTGGTACCGACTTGGAGTGTCCCTAGAAGGTCATGGGATCTTTCCAGATCTTTGCTGGGGTAGGGTCTCCCGAGGTCCACCCCAGGCTTTGGAAAGGTGTACACTGGGCCCACAACTCCTATACCTATTTTTTCCCCAACTTGATTCCTCTCTCCCTTCCCCTCAAATATACTAATATTTTAGTCATGTGTCTTCCCAATTTTGGCTCTTCATCTCATTGGTTATTAACCAGTCCCAGATTCTACCCTTCAGACCTCTCTCCAGACCACCTCTGTGACCAAGACATCCAGACCCAATGTCCTTCACTAGGAAGAACCTGTCTCGTGCCTTTTGACTGTTTTCCCAGTATTTTCCCCATTTGTAGGCACTTGGAACTCTTTCTGTTCTCAGTCCTTCACCTCAGTCTTTTTACCCTATTAGTGTTATTTCTCTCTCCCAGCGTCTCCTCCCATCCTTCTTTCACCCTTCACATAGAACCTATTCCTGTCTGGCATCACCACGTTACTCTTTTCCCATTCAAATCGCCCTTCCCGTGACCAATGCTTACTTTTGCCAGCTCCTGTTCCAGCCACTCTTGCTTTGCTTCTGTAACCTCGCTCCTCAGTGACTTGCCCTACCCCTTTCCTCCTGTTCTCCACTGCCCACTGGGGACTTGGATCTGGTCTCCTTGCTCAAGCATGGTCTGTTCTCCCCACATCCTCAAGCTACCCTTCCCCACATCTACTGGAGCCATCTCCTCCAAGATGTCTCCCCAGGACTTAAGCTCTTTGGTCAGCCAGCTGTGACGTCTCTCATGAGCTCAAGCCCTGGTCCAGTTGTCCCCTGGACTCCGCACACACGGATCTCCTTCTCTTCCCACCTCTCTCCACACCCAGCCTGGTTCCAGTGTCAGGGCTCTGGGTGGACCGACAGGCTCTGCCTTGCAGATATGGGAGTGTTATCTTTGCGGGCAGTCTCTGCTGGAGGGGGAAGGGTGACCCACTCAGCATGGAGGAAGTTGCTGTGACCCTGGATGTTTTGCTCCAGGATCTGATTGCCTCTGTTCATGGGATGGGGAGTGATGTGAGGAGGAGAGGCGACTTCGCCTTAGAGGAGGCCCAGGACCTCCTTCCAAAATCTGTGAACGGGCTCCCCTGTTTGGTAATGATACAATGTGGGAGACCACGGCATGGGAAAACACGGTAAGAAGGGTCAGGCAGTCAGCAGGGCCACGGGCAACACCTTGAAGGTGAAGAACTGAGCTGTCTTGGCAAATGAGTCCACCATTGCCAGCACGGTTGCATTCCCCTGTGAGGGGACAGGTCTTCCACGAACCCCACAGGTGGGAGCTGCTGTAGGTGGGCGGGTGTGGAAACGGTCTCTGAGCGCTCCAGGGCCTCTGCAGAGGCCATTGCTGTGGGCACAGGTCTCTCAGCCCACCCGTCTGCCCAAGTGATCGAGTGGAGTGTCCTCCAGCAGACCTCATGCCCAGCTGCGGGTGCATTGGTTGGGGACTGGTGTCTGCCATGGTCCCCAAGCAGTGTACGGCTGCTTGCTCCAAGTATGAAAAGATGTCTTGTTCTTGTAAGTAGAGGAATGGATAAAAGAGAGGCTGCAGACCCTGCTACTGCAGTCGGGGTCCTGTGGCCCAGTCCCAGTTCCCCTTCATCTCATTTTCCAGGCTTGGTCTTCCAATGGGCTAATTAAACCATTCCGCTGCCTCCCCTGAACATAATTTCTAGGCCTGATTTTCAATATTCCACAAACACCAGCCTCAACCCCACTTCCCAGTGTGTTTCTGCCACCAAAGCACTTGTCCACTTCTTCGCCTCCCCCTCCTCCTCCTCTTCCCACCACCCTCCTCTTGCTGCAGCCTGGTGCTCGGGCTATGCAAAGTGAGTGGAGGAGAACAGAAGAAAAGCAAGTGCCTCCCAGTTTGGATAACTCACTCCAAGACCTACCCCAGCCCCCAGCCACACAAAGCTTAGGTTGCAAGGAGGGTCTTGGTCAGTTCTGTACGAAATGAGGCCCAGGCAAATTTAATTCTTCAATGAATTTAGTAAGTAAATTCTTCAAAGTTGTTTCAGTGAGCAACTCAAACTATCATTTTTATAGACCTGGAAACTGGCTGAATTTGAATGGATTTTCGGAGAAAAATCAAAAGGCAAATACCTGGTGCAATGGCAAACTTCACAGTCCAAAACCATGCAGCACTCCTGGATTTGTTAAAACTCCTCCCCAAAAGATGCACTAGAAGTTTTTTACGTTGCAAGGAGAGCCACAAAAATGGCTGGAGGGAGGGAACACCTCTTCTACAAAGAAGGGCTGAGAGAGTTGGGGCTGTTCAGCCTGGAGAAGAGAAGGCTGCGGGGAGACCTTATTGCAGTTTTTCAGTACTTAAAGGGCGCTCATAAGCCAGATGGGGACAAACTTATTAGCAGGGCCTGTTGTGACAGGACAAGAGGTAATGGTTGTAAACTAAAAGAGGGTAGATTTAAACTGGATGTAAGGAAGAAATTTCTTACAGTGAAGGTGGTGAAACACTGGCACAGGTTGCCCAGAGAGGTGGCAGATGCCCCATCCCTGGAAACATCCAAGGGCAGGTTGGATGGGGCTCTGAGCAACCTGGTCTAGTTGAAGACGTCCCTGCTTATTGCAGGGGGGTTGGAACTAGATGACCTTCATAGGTCCCTCCCCACCCAAACTGTTGTGTGATTCCATGATTCTATGTTTCTACCCTTTCTCCCTCATTCTTGGAAATGACTCAATGATTTGAGCTGCCTTATTGCGATTGCAGTTTCCCCCCAAACTACGCCTGAATAAACCTACCACAGGAAGATTTAGTCCAAATAAAATTAGGAAAGTTATAAGCAACGGAAATTGTGATTTTTAAGGGTGGTGACAGGCTGCCTTAAAAATAAGTGACACCAATATTCACCTTTGGTACCTCTGCCATTTATCTGCATCTTCATTAAGACAGGCAGATTACCAGCCCCCACAACGAGCTCCGTATTCCCTATCTTCAACGCCACCATCAAGGATGTGAGCACGCGATGAAGAAGTACTGAAATTCTGCCATGAAGGAATTTGCAGCCTCATAACATCAGTCACCAGGAGCCAGGGAGGAACTGCAGGGCTCGGGGGTCTCTGTCAGCACTTATCTCTGGGCGCCTGCGTAAGAGCTCTGACATCCCTGCAGCGCAGTACAAGACAGCGTGCGTACTCCTCAGGGCTGGCACTGCTATCTTAGGGAGTCACGTCGCCTTTCTCAGGTGCTTGTTTGTCAGAGGTACGGCTCGCACATCACGGCTTCTTGCAATTCATTCCCTCCTGCCAGAGGTTAAATGCTGCATTACATACATCACTGGCTTAGTGGCACGCATCCTTTCCGAGTTGATGCTGTGCTGACATCTTAGATACAGGGGAAACTGAAAAACAACCACTCTGCTTCCATGACTCTCTTTGTAGCCAGGAAAGTAATAAATCTGAAGAAACCGTTAACTGAATGGAACATTGTGAGAGGAGAGATGACACTGCTAGGGACTGTATTACCAGTCAGAGGAGTCAGACTGGGACATTCCAGTGATATCTAAATTCTTCTTCTCTTCTGTCAATAGCTGTTGGGCTAGAGTGACTACATTTCATTTGGCTGCCTCTCACTTCTTTTCAGAGGCGAGAGGGCAATCCAGCCAGTGCCACGCTGCAGCACCGCACGCTCCAGCTGCAGCAAGCTCTGTGACATTCTGCTGCATTATGCTGCGCAAGCCAGACACTTCTGCTGAGCCCCAGCACTAACGATGTATTGGTGTTTCACCGACTCCCATTCTATTAGCAAAAGTTACAAGACTGGACTTCAGCACTGATGTCTCTCTTTCTTATCTGCATAGGATTTAGAGTGCCCATAACTCAACAGCAAATGATATTCCCATTTTCTCAAAGATCCCTGTAACCAGTGGCTGATCCCATTACACATTCTCAGTCTCCCAATGTGTCGCTTTCCCATGTGGATACATTATCCCTTACCATTTGCCAGCCCGGGCCTGGGAGCGGGCTGCCACGCAGGAGGGAAATGGGGAAGCCCAGCCTGCTGTGTGGAGTCACACCTTGCCACATGGACACCTGGGGCCTCCAGCACACGCACAAAGACAAACACATTGCTTAGTCCTCACCAACCATCACCCGAGCCTGCTCACGTGACCACAAAGTTTATCACGGCATCAGGGCTGGGACAAATCTGGGAAAGTTTGAGGCTTTCAGTCCCACTGACAGAGCGGACTGCAGAGCTGCCCCCCTTCGAGTGAGGCCACTTGCTGTTGAAGCCTCTAACCCTAAGCCACCGGGCACTAGGTTCCCAGCGGCACAAGGAGGGTGAAAAGACATGTGCTGTCCTGGAAATGCATTCCTCCTTTTCACAAAATTTCCCTTC